AACTACTAACTTTTTGGATAGCAGTCAAGTATTTAGTAACTGTGCCACCAGAGCTTCTTGAATAGAAGACTAGGGGCTTTTCCATTTGTTTGGATAGGTTGCTTTTTCTGATCCATTTCACTGCACCTTCCTCCTCTCCGCTGCCCATTTCAGGACACTACAAGGACAAAGTTGGGGTGCTGAGTTAGGCAAGGAAGCAGCTCTATATCTGCACACCTACACCATCTCTCCTCTCCTTCCCTCCCAGATGGGGCCAGTGAGTGAGATTCTTTCTCTCTTTGCCAAGTAGCCCTGCCCCTACCCCCACGCCCCTGGCATACATTGGCACTGCCCTGTTAGACCCACCTCTAGATCCTGGAGACACAGGGAGAGGTGAAGAACATGTTTGTGGGGGCTGTTCCTGATGGTCATACCAGCAGATCCTCTAGCACCCCGCTTCCCGCGACTACATGAGACTGTGATCAGTGGCTGATAAGTGCCTGGGGCCTCACCCTCTTGGCAGCCCCAAGCCTCACCACCTGGAAGACAGGCCAGGCAAGATGGAGGCCTCGACTGACTTCCCACTCTCCTTTTAAGGCGACCACAAGTGGCCTGTGGGGGATGAGAGGGAGAGTAAGGGGGTGGGAAGGACTCGTCATCTTCCCAGAATCCACCTCCTCGCCTCTGAGTAAGAATGCTTGGGTTCAACTCCCCATTCCACTTTTCCATCTATGTCTTCTTGGACAAGATACTATATTTAAGTCTCATTGGTTGGAACTGAATTCTGTATGGAAGGCAAGGATTCTATTACTGAGCCTCTAACGCCTCATCTGCCTTTTATTTTATTTTTTTTAATATAAACTTTTAATTTTATGCTGATTTACTTACAAAGTTCATATACATTATTTTTCACACTGAATCCTTCCCACTTCTAACCCACCCTTCCCTCCACCCATCAAACTGTGCGACCCTATGATGACACCCTCTACCCATCCTCACCCCTGTGCTCCACTCATCTGCCTTCTTAACACCCTCTTTTGTCTCTGCCTCTTCTCTCTGCTGCCTGTTACACCTAGCTCAGAATCCTTGCCTCCAGGCAGCTTCTTCACAGGAATCCAGCCATTCCTCAGCTCCACCTTCCTGCCATTCCTCTGGCTCTGCTGAATCTCCTTAACACTTCGTACTTGGGACCTTGGTCCTAGCCTCTTGGTCCTACCAAGAGCTCCCTGAGGGTGTCTGGGCCTGGACTTGTGTAGATCTTTCTAGCACTGACCAGTCTTGAGCAAAATGGCCATTGTACCAGCACCTGAGTTGTTGCTGTTGTTTGTTGTCATAATAATTCCTGACTCTTGGTGACCCTGTGTGTGTGCAGAATAGAACTGTTCCCAAGGTTTCCAAGGCTGTGAGTTTTTGGAAACAGATCACCAGATCTTACTTCTGAGGCATTTCTAGTTCAGTTTGAACTGCCAACCGTTCTAACCAGCACTCAACCATTACATCCCTCAGGAACTCTAACTGGAAGCAGTTACATTTATGTTTGCTTGGTGTATTAGAGTTTCTGTGGTTCTTTTTCCTCCTATCCATTATCACTTTGGATCCTTGAGAAATAGTTTCTGACTCCTTTAAAAAAAATGTCTGAAGCTGAGAGAATAAGTAACTTCTCTATAATCACATGATCAGTAAGAAGCAGGGTTGGGAGCTGAAACCAGTTCTTCTGATTATAAATTCCAGGCTCACTTCTCCCTTCTGCCCACAAGGTCTCCTAGAGACTGTCTGCCAAACAGTTACCAAGCAGAGAAAGCAGAGGTTAATGAAAAGGAAGAATGGAGTCTTCATGCTGCCCACAGGTGGACTTCAGGGTCTCTTCACCCCAGGATGCCTTTTCCTCACCACTCCCCAGCTATCCATTTTTGTTCTTTCCCATTTTCTGTCACTTATTACTCTCCCTGCTGGTAGCCCTAATTTCAGCACCATGTTTTGGAAAAAAATTTTTTTATTACTGTCGCACAAGGATAACTCAAACAACCACTGGTTGCCATCAAGTTGGGGCAGACTCATGGCTGACCCTCGAGGCTGTAAATTGCATGGGAGGAGATTGTCCATCTTTCTCTCATGGAGCTGCTGGTGGAGTTGAACCAGCCACCTTGAGGATAGCAACACAAGTCTCTATGGATAATACCACTACAACTTCCTTGCACAAACATAGAGGAAAAAGAAAATATTAAGAAGAAATGTTCTGTGTTTTCTATTAAATTATCTAACTTTCTGTGTTATTTTTAGAAATCATTTTGTCTATATTCTTAAGACTGTGCTTGTTTTTTACATTCTAAAGTTTTTTTATTAAACCTTAGCACAGACACCATTTTGTGTTATGTTTCTTTCCTTTAATGTTGGATCACAAACCATTTCTCTGAGGCTGGACATTCGATTTTTATTTTGGAATTTTTTACCATTTGGGGTAAAAATCACCAGGGTTTTCAGTCCAGAGGGCTCAGAGTTTGTGGGTGACACTGATGCTCACAGATTGAGCATCAGTCATATGTCACGGGACATTGTGTTTCTAAGTGTGAAGTTACTTTGAGACCAGTGCTGGTCCCTAGATTCTTTGTTACTAGTTTATGCTGAGAGAAATACAGAATTTGAAAGTAGTAATTTAAGGTTATGCCACATCCTTGTGCGTGCACACGCACACAAAATAATAAATATCTCTAGAAATGTTAGCAATAAAATAGTTTTATTTTTGTTAAATCTTAAAGGTAAAAGATTGGGGCTTGCATTTTGTGTAGTTTTGATCTAATGTTTCTGGTAATTTTATGAAAATGTTGATCTGCAACAGATTGGAAATGGAAAAGAAAGAGAAATTGTTTTGGATTAGGTTATTTCCTGGTCTAGAAGATAGTGGTAGGTACTGGTAGATGCTCAATTGACAGGGTGACTTTCAGTGTAAAGGACATCATCTGTTTCATATCTGAGGCACCCAAGGCTTACAGAGGGAGTTCTCATGGCACAGCCCAAGGGGAGTTGTGCTCTAAAGGCTGCCCTTCTCTGATGGTTTGAATCCACTAGCAGTTCTGCAGGAGAAAGATGGCACTCATGTGCTGTGCGATTTGCAGTCTCCCCCCAAAATCCACTGGGGGGTTAGCTGTGAGTTGATTCCAACTCAATGGCAATGAGTTTTGAGCGAGAATCTTATACAGCACAGATGTACCAAAACCCCCAAGGGTAACCGTGGGAACTGTGCAGTGTTTCCCTGTTCTGTTCTGCTCCTTAGTCTGAGTATAGGTTTCAGATCAGCACAATCAAGAGTTCTGGGATTCCCACTCTCCTCAAGGTTAGCCACAATTTATTGTGATCCACACAGTCAAATGTCTTTGCACAGTCAGTGAAACGCAGATAGATATTCCTCTGGTACTCTGTGCTTTCTGTCAAGATCCATCTGACATTGGTTATAATGTCCCTATAATGTTCTAGTAGTTCTGCCAGTTCTTGGTTTATGTGCTGTGCCAGTTGTTTTTGGATGATCCTCAGCAGGACTTTGCTTACGTGTGATATTAGTGATATTGCTCAATAATTTCCATGTTCTGTTGAGTCTTCTATTTTTGGAATAGAAATAAATATGGATCTCTCCAGTCAGTTGGCCAGGTAGTTGTCCTCCAGATTTCTTGGCACAACCTGGTGAGCATGTCCAGGGCAGCATCTGTTTGCTGAAATATGTCAATTGGTGTACCATTAATTCCTGGGGCCTTGTTTTTTTCCAGCTTCTTCAGAGTAGCTTGAACTTCCTCCTTCATCACTATTGCTTCTTGATCATATATTGTTTCATGAAATTCTTCTGTGTCCACCAATTGTTTTTGGTTGCTGTCAGGGACCTCTCCAGAGTACTGAAAAGCAACTATGTCAATCTAGAGACTAAGGTGTACCTAATCCAGGCTATAGTTTTCACAATTACTTCTTATAGCACATCAGAGAGCTGGACTATGACTAAGGATGACAGAAGAATAATGAATGCCTTTGAGTTGTAGTGCTGGAGAAAAGTCTTGAACATTCCGCGAACCATCAAGAAAATAAATCTATCTTGGAGAGGGTGAAACCAAATTTCCCTTGGAGCTAAGATTTTGAACCTCTGTCTCACAATCTAGGGGCACATGGCCTGGAAGGACTAGTCCTTGGAGAAGGACATCATGTTTGGAACGGTGGAGAGACAGCACAGGAGAGGAAGACCCTGGATGAGATGGATTGATTCAGTGACTGGGGTGATGGACATGAGTGTGTCAGAGTCAGTGAGACAGGCTCAGGTAGAACAGGCTTCAGCGCTGTTATACATAGGATTCTATGATTCACAGGAGACTCAATGGCAAATAATAACAAAAACAGCCTTGGGAAGATTCTCATGGTTTCCATTTGTACTCAGTGACCACAATGTCAAGTTTTCATGTGGTAAACTTTAGAGTGTGCACAGTGATGACAATAATGGGGAGCAGAAACAAAGTGTGGGATGTCAGACATAGCTTTCACCCCACCAAGGCTGGGCCAGCAGTTGTCTCTACCTTTGTCCCTCTGTGCTTCTTTGGTAGCTAGACACCCCAGAGCTTTGCCCCAGATCTCCCAGACACACCCCAAAACAAACAATAGTGGAATTTCTTAGGTAGAAATAAGCTAATGATTTGGGGAAAACTGTACAGGAGGTTACAGCATCTAGATCCCGAGAGACAATGCCACTCTAGCTTCTAAGTGATAAGAGATGAATGATAAATGATCAGGTCGGGGAAGTTTATCTACAATGCAATTTCTGCAACTTATAGGTGTGAGCTTTTGAACAGACATTGCTGGCAGGCAAACTAAATATTAATACTCCCCTCCCAGGATTCTGAAGTCGCCCAGCCCAGAAAATACGTGTATATATAGGGGCAGAGCCAGATCTCTTGTCAAAGGAGTCATAATAGCTCCTTCCCTCCCTTGCCTCTGCCTCCTTCTAGCTAGGCCTCTTTCTCTTGTCTGTTTCTCTGGATGCTCCGACAACCATGAGCCGCCAATTTAGTTCTCAGTCTGCGTTCACCTCAAGAAGCAAGCGGGTTTCTAGCGTTGTCTCTTCTGGAGGCTTTGGTTTGGGGAACAGGGCGGTGGGCTCTGTGTGCCAGGCCCGGGGGAGATGTGGTGGTGGTGGATATGGCTATGGGAGCTATGGAAGCTATGGGAGAGGGTTTGGCTCTCGAAGCCTTTACAATCTGGGTGGCAATAAAAGCATCTCCATTAGCCTAGTGGGGAGAAGTGCCAGTGGCTTTCGCCAGGGTGGAGGGGCAGGGGTTGCATTTGGAGGGAGCAGAAGCTTTGGGGGTGGTGGCTATGGAGGAGGTGGGTTTGGTGGTGCTGGGTTTGGAGGTAGCAGTTTTGGGCTTGCGGGCTTTGGTCCTTCTTGTCCCCCAGGGGGCATCCAAGAGGTGACCATTAACCAGAGCCTCCTACAGCCGCTTCACCTGGAGGTAGACCCTGAAATTCAGAGGATCAAGCTCCAGGAGCGGGAGCAGATCATGGCACTCAACAACAAGTTTGCCTCCTTCATTGACAAGGTGAGTAGCCCAGGGGCGGGCAGAGTGTTTGGACACCAACCAAATGTTTTGGAGGGCCTTGTGCTCTGCCCTGACTCGTCACATCACGCTGCCTCTGTGTGGGGGCCATAATCACTTCCAGATATGTGTGTCCTGGGACTTTAGGAAAGCATTCACCTCATTTATGTCAGTTTGACTTCTTGGGGGGATTTAATTTTATCTTCTCTTCTTGGCAGGAAAGTAGCTAAGAGGAATAAAAACATAGAACAGATAAAATGCATGGTATAATAACCTCATCCTTTTATATCACTATTCATTTTTCATCCATCCATCCATCCAACTATGTAACCATCACACTCATCCACATATATCCATTCATTCATTCATTTACGCATCCATTTACCATCTCCAGCAAACAAACTGTACTAAGCATTTACTATATACCTGCACTAGTATATACCACAGGACTCAACACATGGTTTTCTATAACACTGGTTCTTCCTTAAAGAACTCCAAATCTTAAGGAGAGACCATGACAATAGTGTGGAAAGTGTGTCAACAGTAGCAGTATCCTCTGGAGTGTGGTAGCTCAAAGGAGGGTGTGAGGAACTCTGCTTGTTTTGTTTATGGAATGCTTCACTGGGTACCCTCAGTTAGTCCTGGACTTCCAAGATGGAGAATAAGTCAAATTGTTTCTTGGAGGAGAGAGGGCTTCTAGACAGACGGACCAGGAAACACCAAAGCAAAAGGCATAAAAGGGTGAAACCACAAGGAATTAGAAATAGTTATAATACTGTGGAAACAACGTGAGGAAGAGGAGAGAGGTGGAGATGAAGGTATGAAGTAAGGGCAGGACAGGGCAGGAGGAGGTAGAGAGGGGGAGCTTGGCAGAGCCTAGAGGAAAGCCTTGCTGGACATCTCTTGGGGTAAAGACACTGGTGTACAATGTAGGGTTCTGTTCGAGTTTCTCTTTTAAGCTTTGGACACGCACACGCCCGATGTATGCCTCTCTGGTTTCTTGGTTAAACCTAATTATGTTTAATTCATCCCAAACCACCAAGCAGGAACTATTGAAAGAGCTAAAGAGCTAAAAAATTATTGAAAGACCTTTCTCTTGAGTTCCTTTTACCCAGGGATTGCTGCCTGTTGGTCCCTGGATGCTCCTCCAGGAAGTACTTTACGCTGGGGATGAAGTGAGAGCACAGAGGCTACATGATGCTCAGTGACTTTCCTTCAATCCCCACGAGAGTCTGGCGTTGAGGGCCAAATTTGCCTTGTGGTCTGACAGCAGGCTAACATGCTGTACAATTCGCCTCCCGATAACTGGGTGAACACTGAGGGCAGGACAGAGTATGGAAGAAGGAGGAATTAGGGGCAAGGGGTAAAGTCCAGAGATAGCTCAAAAGGTGTCCAATATAGCAAGTACTTCTGGTTACTAGAGATGAAAGCTTGGGCTAGATGTCATCACTCCTCAGTTACAGTCAGGGGAGGGTTTGACTAGACCAGGGAGGTGACAGGTCAAGGCTAAACCCAGGGAGGAGCAGGGAGTAGGGAGGGCTGAAGGTCAACAGAATGATTACAGGCTGCCGGCAATCCATGTCCTGAGACTTTCTTTTGATTATGATACCTGTGGGCACATACTGGATTTTGTGGCTCTGGATGTGGACAGAAGCCAGAGGAAGAGACTTGGCCTTTTTTCTTTCCCTAAGGATGCCTGTGATGAGCTGCTTGTAATTTCCAAAGGATGCCTGTGATAGGCCCTGACTTGACTAGAAGCAGCAAGACTCTGTTATAGTGGTTTATAACCCTGCCTTCCAAGTTGGTCTTCCTGCTTTCACTGTCAATCCCACAAAAATATTATAACATTGTACCACAGGCCATTATTAAAGATGTATCATGTAACTCCTCCATATTGGCTTGTTGGCTAGAAAGCCTGATTCTATAAAGTCTTGTGTAATCTGGTCCTCCAAGCCACAGCTGGTGCGAGTCCCTGACATGCATTTGTGAGAACTGCTCTCCCTGGGTAGAGAATGGAGTGCAGGCTAGGATCTAGCATCCTAAGATACAAACCCCTAACTCATTAGTCATTCCACTGTCACTTTGACTCAATTCCTCCTTTCCTTTTGCTCACAACCCCACACTCACTCGCCTACTGCATCCCAAGCGCCGTTCTGTCTTAGGGTTTCTGCACATGCTGTTCCCATTATTTGCAACTCTTCTCCACCAAGAGAGGCCCAGCTCCCTTTCTCAGCTCGTTGAAATCTTTCCTCAAATGAGCCCTAGCCAATCTCATTGAGGCCCCATTTGTTTAACACAGCATCTCTCATCCTATCCACCATACCTACCCTGCATTCGATGTCTGTGTTGTCTGATCTCTGGAGCCATTTAATGGATATTTGAAATGCTTGCTTCTTTAAGGCTGTCTCTGAATAGAATATAAGCCTTAGGAAGTGAGAATTTGGGTTTGATTCCCCCCCTCCCTTGAATCCACAGCAACCAGATTGGTGCCTGGTGTCTGGAATACATGTTGAATGAAAAATTGGAATAGTTCTTGAGGTTTCAGGCTAGAACCCTTGGGAAGTAGTTGTGGAGAAAATGCTTTTTAGGAACCTTGACAAGGGAAAGGGATTTCAGCAAGGACCCTGCCATTTGGTGTGGAGACTCTCCCAAGGTACTTCTTTGGGTCCCTAGAATGTAAGCACAGAGCTGTGAACGAGTGTCCAATCAATTCCTCCACTCTCTGGGAGTGCCACCACAGAATGAAAACAGACCAGGGGTGGGAACTTCTCACGGGCTTTACAAGTTGTGCCGACAAGCCTTTGAGAACTAGTTGCTCAATCTCTTGCTTTGATAAAGCCAACAAAAATAAGCCGTGACAGAAGTGTTCTTTGTGAGGATTTTCTACTCTAGACTCAGAACCAAAAGGGAATTAAGAAGGGTCAGCCCCTTCGACGAACAGCGTCTCCAGGGCTGGGGAGTCCTGAGCACCCTCCTGAGTTCTACACGACATGGGAGTGTCCTCTGGGTTCTGATGTGAAATATTTGTAATCACAGCCACACAAAACAATGGGTTTGCTCGTGTACTCTGTTCCTGGAAGAGGGAGGCCAGATTCTCAAGATGTGTGTGTGTGTGTGTGTGTGTGTGTGTGTGTGTGTGTGTGTGTACGCGCATGCGCGCGTGCACTTGTTACACCTGAGCGAAGTGCAAGCCGCAGAGAAAACTCATCATCTCTACTCAGGGTATGGAAAGGGAGGGCAATGAATTGATAGCGATATGAATGGGTCAGTGAATATGAGGTATATAGGTTTACATTATCATGAGAATGACAGAAAACTCTGAACTCTAAAGTTGACCTTCACATTCACAATTTTGAAAATAGTTTGGGGAAAGAGGTAATGAAATTCTGGGTGAGGTCCACTTTGCATTTTCTGAAATAATGAAAGAAATAGCAACATGGGTATTTCCCCAAACACTAGACAACCCCCAAGTCCTTATACGTCTATAAACACATGGCGTAACTTTTTTCTTTTAATGATGAAATTTACTTCTGAAATTTTGCCTGGGCTTTAAAAACATTTAAACGAGATTCCTTTACGGAATAATCTATCAGCTGCGGTGGTGGTGGTTGCTAGTTTTGCTCAGTAATCGATTTAATGTTCTACGTCAAGTTATTCTTTCCACTCTCTCTTATTTTCTCCTCTCCTCAAGCCCACAAAGTACTGAAACATAAATAGAAATGGTTCTTGAATTTGTGTTTCCATTGCTTCAAAATCTCATGGGAGCTCTGGTAAGGAATTGCACTGTTAACCCAAAGGCATGCAGTTCAAACCTGCCAGCTGTTCCATGAGAGAAAGATGGGCAATCTGCTCACATGTGATTTCATGCCCACTGGAGGGCTAGCTACATGTCTACACTGAGTCAGTGGTACACAACAGATGCCTGAGGGTGGAGGGTGAACACTCTGTTGTGTAAGTAAATGATTGGGGTTGTAGGAAATAAAGTACGCAAGGGGAGGTGACGTAACCTTCAAAACTAGAGTGAGTTTGATGTCAACTTTAGACAAGTTGACCCAATAGCCATTGGGCAGCCATTAGAAACTCCATTGCTTTCTGTTTGCTTTGGTACCAGAGAGAGGGCAAGCTCTCTGGGCCCCTGATGGGCCATCCTGGTCCGATGTAGAGCACACTGTGTGTGCACTCAAGTCTGGGTTGGGTTGGATGTCTCTCGCTTTTAGGTGCGATTCCTGGAGCAGCAGAATCAGGTGCTGCAGACGAAATGGGAGCTGCTGCAGCAGGTGAACACCACCACTCGAAGCAACAACTTGGAGCCTGTCTTGGAAGCCTACATCGCTGATCTGCAGAAGCAAATCAGCCTTCTCAACACAGAACAGATGCGCCAGAACACAGAGGCCAGGAACATGGAAGATGTCGTGGAGGACTACAAGAACAAGTGAGACTCCCAACAGTATGAGACGTCTTTACCGATGTTCTAGCAAGACAAGCCTGGCTCCTAGGGTGGGCTCTGAAACTAATTGTAGGCACATTAATCTTTCTAAGCCTTTAGTCTTCACATTAGTGAAGTAGGGACAGTAATAGTACTTTCTTTGTTAGGCTCCTATGAGACGTAATTTGTGGTTCTCAAACTTCTGTGGGCCTCAGCTTTTGGAAATAAGATTGCTGCTCTCCCTCCCCCAGAGTTTCTCATTCAGCAGGTCTGGGATGGAGCCTGCATTGGCAACATCATCCCAAGTTAAGCTGCTGCTGCTGGACTTGGGACACACTGGTGTAGATATGTTTAGGTTTAGTCTGTTGTTAGTACGGTCTCTGCTGCCTGCACGTAGCATGTGGTCCGTAATCACTGCTGCTGTCGTTAGGTGCTGTTGAGTCAACTAGGACTCATCGCAACCCTATGAACTTTGAACTTGATGATCTGAACCTGACCCTTTCCTGCCCCAGCCTGCCACAATAAGCTCTAGCTATTATTATTAATGACAGTGGTGGGTGGCGCCTTGTGTAGGCATCTAAGTGGCCTCTCTCACTCCAATGCTGGGGGTGCAAGACACCTCTTGTAACATCATCTCCTTAAGCTCACTTCATTGTGCCCATGGAAAGCTATGTGTGTGTGAGCTGACAAGAGGTAGAAGAGGTGCTAGGGACACAGAATCGTAGGTGAAGCATTTTTATATTTTAGAAAAGTTTACTAATGGTGATTAGTACATGCTCTCAGTAGAAAAAAATTATTGAGCTTCATTTTTGTTAGTGAGTTAATTTACAAAGGTAAAAAGTAAGAATAAGAGAAGATATTTTGGGAGTGGTGGGTTTGTCTGTCATGTTGGCTTGTTCCCCCTGCTGGCCCAGGCACCAGTCAAGGATTGGGGAAGACCATTCTCTGGCAGGTATAGGTTAGGCCACGCATCCTACGAAAGGAGATGCAAAGTGGGGCACCACTGCAGCCTGACGGGGATTCTTGCCTCCCCCAACAGGTATGAAGAGGAAATCAACCGGAGGACCAGTGCCGAGAATGACTTCGTTGTCCTAAAGAAGGTAAGGAGAAGAAGAAAGCGGAAGGGGACAGTGGATGAGGAGGTGACGCAAACTGCTGTCTGTGAGATGACAAGTGACAGAGGGAGGCACAGGGTCACCCACAGGTCAGCTCACTGTGAGTGCTGCCCAAGTGCTGGGACCTTGAAATGAGAAGTAGACAGGTTTTCCTTGACACTGAAGGTATAAGTCAGAAGCTGATGCTGATAAAAATCTCTGGCTACCCTTTGCCTTTTATTTCTCCAGTGTCCTGAAATGGAATTAAAATACTGACAGCTTTTGAATGTCTTTTGTGCTTGGCCTTGGAGGGGCGCAGGGTGGACTGACAGAGTGTGGTGCTCGGTGTCATACTTCCCTCTGTCTGAGAGTCCCAGCGTTTGTCAATCTATTCTTATAGTGTAAATGGTTACCACAGGAGGTTGCAGCACCTACAGTGGCCTCGGAAGAAAGGCCTGGAGATCTACTTTTAAAAAGTCAACCACTGAAAACTTGATGAAGCATAGTTCTACTCTGACACATGCGGGGTTGCCACGAGTCGGTATTGATCCTGTGGTAACTGGCTTGGTATTGTCGATTGATTGAGAAGCATGGTCACTTGTCTTGGCGCATGCAGTAAGTGGGCAGTGCCTGGGAAATCAAGTCAAATAGTAAGATCTTTGCTTGCTCTCTAGGATGTGGATTCTGCTTACACAAGCAAAGTGGACCTGCAGTCTCGGGTGGACAGTCTCTTAGGGGAGACCACTTTCCTGAAGTATCTATATGACATGGTGAGTTCAGCCCTCATGAGGAACCCCTTTCTCTTCTCCTTCAAGGTGGTGTTGTCATTCTATAGATGAGGATACTGAGGCATGGATTTTTTTAATTAAATTTTATTAATTTTAACGAACATTTACAGAGATTTGGGTTTCCATTCACTCATTGTTGCACTATTTTCTCTACCGCCCCCCCCAATTAGTTCCTCTTCCCCCCCCCTTGAAAGTCTATTTTAATTGTCCCATTGCCACAGTGCTTGTGAAAGCCAGTTAGGATTAATCTCCTTTGTCAGTGTGTCCTT